GGAAAAAAAAAAGACACGCAGAAAGAAATGGAACGGATACGAACCAAACACATCAATAAGAATAAAAAGTAACGTCCAAGATAAATATTACAAATACAATTATCCGAATTATTCGCAAAAAGAAAAACAGATAGTCGCAAGGGAAAAAGTATTGAGTGAAGCTGTGGAAGAAAGTTGTCCATTTAAGTCTTCTATATAGGATTTAAAAAAATCTCGATGGCAAATGACTAAGGTAAATGAGTGAACAACGAATGACCGGTGGCCAGAATCAACATTCCTGATCTGGTATGACCAGATATAGAGATAGCATGATAGTTAGAATGCGGAAGGGGTCCGGTCAGTGTTTTTTTGGGTGTTACTACCACTACAGGAAAAGCCAGTGGATAAATATAATAAAGAAATGAAAATCAGCAAGCCAGTAATCAAGAATTTTGTCAACCGAGATCACGATTTCACTATCTTATGATTTTTCACCCCATCTATATTCGATGTATATTCGATGCGTGCGGTCAAATAACGGTCGGAAGAAAATCACATGATAAGATACGGAATACGGGATCCGAGTTGTCGTGGGGAACTTGATTTTTATTATAAATGTATAACACAAAAACGAGGCGGCTTGGAAGACAGGATTTAAAATAGGCAGTGCAAAAAGCAAAATGGCATGTGAAAGACATGATTTGGTGCTTTTAAATCTAAAAAATTCTCTAGATAATATCATAAATCGCTCCTTTGTTTCGCCGAGGGAAAGGGGAAACAAATTTCAAAAAGGTCAGCAGATGGAGCCACAACATAATCGCCAAAAATACGATACATACATATCTATACCATATGTAATCAAGTATTTGAATTACGGTGTAGCATTTCATTCACACCATCCAATTATGTATCTCGTTGATGAGGTGTTTGTTTCTGGCTTGGGCTTTGCTAGGGGTTCCATTTGCGAATTTGAGAGAACTGAATCTTTCTAAAAGAATTGTATTTTCGTATCATTACTTTGAAAATGGTTAAAATGGTTAAAATAGTGTGCAATTCATACATTAAAATACTGCAAATTTTCAAATAAATAAATAAATAATATTATAAATAAATAATAAATATTGAGGGTCTTATTTTTGCAATCCATCATCTTTTTTACCGTTACTACGTATTCAACTAATCGAACTAGTCGTAGTTGGTATGCTTCAGTACATAAAAAGAAATTTTATATTAAAATAACCTCCGTACTTCTATTATTCTCATAAAAAATATAACATGGTTCCAAAACCAGACTATGGCAAGCAACCGTGAGACAATTTAAGTATAATGAGGTTGAAAAGGCTCATCAAATGATGGTCACGTCCCATGTTTAGGTCAGTCATATATATTACTCCGTCAGTCGCATGCGAACTAACAATTTAAGATCCTCCGGACAGATCATTTCGATTTACGCCAATTCATCTCCGTGCCGTTCGGCCACTCTTGCTGAAACGAGATTTACTTGCTTTTTATTATGCGTGATTTATCGCATTATTTATTTATTTATTTGAAAATTTGCAGTATTTTAATGTATGAATTGCACACTATTTTAACCATTTT